TTTTGATCTAGGAGGGTTGTTGTTTTTTTGTTTTTTTTTTTTTTAATTATTATTATTTTTTATTTGATGAAAAACTTTGTGGGTCTTCTGAGCATTAAATGGCAACATCTTAGGAATCAGCTTCAATAAAGACTTCATTTCTGTGCTGTTCTTTGAAGCCTTTTTGAACCGTTCTTTTTAGCTCAAAAACTAGACTTTCTCTCCTCTCCATATGTCTCCATACGTCTGTCTAATCAGGAGCTTGTTTCTCCCTCAGGATGGGCTCTGGCATCTCTTTTCTCCAGTTGCTCCAGGAAAAGTTTGGCTCCCAAAGAACCTTCTCATTTTGGCTTTGCACTGGTTTCCCCTGCTCTGTGTTCTCAGAGCCCATCAAAGGCTGCCTCCTGGCTCCCTCCTGCCCTGACATTCCTTCCCAGCCGTGCTTTTTTGCTGAAACTTCAGGAATATCCTGTGCTGCTCCCTTTGAAGTGTGCTCGTGCCACTTTTGCATAACTGGTTTCAAGCCCCAGCAGCCTCTCTCAGATTCCAAGCCATTTGGGCAGCTCTCTCCCTGGGGCTCCCATGACTGCCAGGTACCACCCTGCATCCTATTCACTGCCAGCCTCCTGGCACAGAGCTGCTGGCACAGCCCCAGAAATGTGATCTCAAGTTATGACTTCATGCAAAAAATTACAGCGTTTGCTTGCGAGCCGTAACCGAGATTAGAAATTGTAAGGGAGCATCGCTTTTTTGTTTTCATTTCCTGCTTGCTGGTTTGTTGCTTCTATGGAAGTATTCTGTTGAATTGCTCGGGACTGCTTTCCTCCTTGATACCATCTTTATTTGTTGTGAATTGGTTGTGTTATGCAGTCAGTCCTTCCTCTGTAACCTCTCTTGAAAGCAGTGTGGGGGTTCTAACAGATATGTGTTGTGAAATACGTGTATTTCAGAAGCAAACTTGATTGTGCCAGGTTGCCATGCTTGCCAATTAACAGACTGAGCATATTCTTGCATATCAAATCCTACAGCTTCATACCACTGTGCTGTATCTAAAAGGAAAAACAACTGAAAAATGTGAGTCGCTTGCACATAATGCAGAAAAAAGTGTCACATTTAGGGTTAATGATTGTGCTTAATTTCAGCCAGAAGAACTGGAGACGTTCCTTGGGTAGCTTTGGTGGTGGCAGGGACAGCTGCTTTGGGGAGCTGAGTTTTCTGGGCAGGGTATCTATAGAGGGTTGTCAAACTTAGGCTGCCAGCTTGGAACAGACCATAGAACTTAGAAAAGATGTATGTATCAAAACATACAAAGGCACACATGCAAAAATCTCATGGGATGGCTGAATTCCATGCTGTACCAGGCATAAAAAGAAAACAGTGCAGTCAGCGGGAGAACAGAGAATTTAAAGTCTGCGTTTGCTAGGTGTGCAGGAAAGCTGAAACCCAAATGGGTTGAGTACAACAAAAAGGAATGCGGTTGGGCAGCAATAGCTGCTTCTGGCACTCGTGGTGCATTTAGCCATTTTCTTTCAGCTCTGAAAGAGAAGTAACTGTGAAATTGGATTGAAGAAATCAGAACGGTGCTGCACTCGGGTAAGATCTGAAGTACAGGGCAGCTGTTCATTCATACCTTCTGAGGCTGAGCGTACTAAAGCAGGTTGAAACGATAGAAAACCCCGTGGTAATCAAACTCGAGAGCTGTTTTTTCAATTCTGAAGGATTTCTTTTTATTGTCAGTGTGATGGAAGGCGATAAGAGATAAGATCGCAATTGTAATCTGATGGAGAAAGCTGGGAAGCAGAACGCCTTTCAAAGCAGCAGAGCTCCTCAATGAAAGCAAGCTGTATGGCTTATGGGAAGGCGGTGGGTATGGCCAGGCTGCTGTGCTGTGGTGCAGAATGCACATCCTGCAGAGGAAGGGACCTGCGCTTTTGCTTTTGTTTTATCCAGCAGCTCTGTCTCCTCACAAAGGCGGGAGGGCTGTCAGAACAGCCCATAAGAAGCAGAATTCTGGTTTTATGCGGATTTTAATCTTTTTTTTTTGCCAGCGATGATTTTTTCAGATTATCGTCTGAGTTCGGATCAGTGCTGGAGATGCTTTGCTGGAAATTACAGCATGGTTTTGATAGCCTGGAGCAGGGATGGCCTCTGTGTGGCCCAGGGCAGCCATTTGGCCTGCCTGAAGAATTTATTGCCTGGGCTGTGGTGCTAGAAAGTTCTCCTCTGAGCCTCTGCAGCGCTGTCACTGTTTCTGGATGTGTCTGCAACAGGGAGGAGGGGAGATGAATAGCATTCTGGAGCTGGTCTGACTCACTCATGAGCTTGCCCATGGGAATGGGCCCTGTGGTGAGGGCAGCTCAGGAGGTGCTCAGGTTGGGGGATGCTCGTGGGCTGGGGAGCAACTGGGAGCAGGAGGGAGAGGATGATGGCTGCAGATGGGGTGAGCCGGGCAGGGAGGAGCTGCAAAGGAGCTGCTGGGTAATGTTTTCTTGGTGTATGTTGGGCAGATCCAGGGCAGTAAGTAAGAGAGGAGAGCTGCCCTTGGACTGCCTTCCCCCCAGAAGAGGAAAAACTCCAAACCAACTGAAGTCACAGTGATGTGACAATACAGGAATGACTTCAGCCTTCAGACTCCTGTAACAGTTACCTGTGTGTTCTTGGGACCAAAGGCCAGGAACCAGTAGGTAGCAGTTGCTGGATAAATTAGGCACTGGTGCAGTGAAAAGGAGGAGGAGGTTTTGGCCTCAGTACAGCCGTGTGAGAAGTGTTCAGGATTTGTCTCGGGGAGGCCAGCTGACCATCAGCCACTAACTGGTATTGCCAAATAGAGCAAGTGGGTGATATCCTGCTGGAAAACAGAGGTTATTTTTTGACTGTGTGGAGGACAAGCCAACGAAAAACAACACTCAGACATTTTGTTTGCAGACGTGATTTCTGGAGCTTTAGCCAAAAGCACAGTGGAACAAAGACCGAAGTTAAATTTAGTACATGTCAACCTGATCAAAACCAAGTATACACAGACAAAGCCTGTCCAGATTCCGACACAATGTGGCCTGCAGTTGCCAGGGCTTGCACAGAGGATGGGATCTTGCAGGAAGGAGCTCAAGCCGTTAATTACAGCAGAGGCAGTGTATCTCCAGCGTCGCTGTGTGAATGTGGTAGGCCTTGTGGCTGCTTGTTTAAAGGTAGTAAACCAGGGTTTTTATGGTTTTGTGCAAAAATAACTCCTTGAAAACATGCACTATGACTGTGCAAGAGTTAAAAACGGATCTTCAGGGAGTGCTAGGAAGTTTTGTAAGCTCAGATCAGTGAAAACCCTTGCTACTGGGGCTGGATGAGGTATTGTTAAATTGTAGAATAGCAGCACTGAATATCAGCTTTTGGCATTTTGTTCAATGGAGGAGTGAAAGCAAGAATGCCTGCACTGCTTAGAAAGTGATGTCAGCATTGAACTGAAGGACAAGTTAATAATTTGGGTTTTGTGTATGGAACTGATGCTGTGGGGTTGCTGGTAAGGGGCAGTTACAGGATGCTGTGTGTGAGAGCCGACCCACGCAGGCATAGTGCACAGCAACAGAAGGTAGATGCTCCATTTCTGGAAGAAAAATGTGATTTTGCAAGGAAATGTTTCAAACAGGTAAGTGCTAGAGGCTGTGAATGCCAAGGGGCAGCGAGCAAGCAGCCCTCCACCAACAACACCAGTGCTTTCAGGGAGGCAGCAGGTCCAGGCGTTGGCACGGAGCAAGAAATGCTGAGCACAAGGTTGGCTGTGAATATTTCCAGCTCCTGACATTTTTCTCTTGAGCTGATCCGCTCATTTAAGAGAAATAAACTTCCAGCATGCAGCACAACCTGCATCACCTTGTCGTGTTCTCTGAGAGCACAGCCTGGTTTTGTAGCCCAGCAGGAGGAGAAAAATGGAGCTGTGAGTTGCTTTAGTTCTTCCTTGCGAAGGGATGGGTCTGTTGATAAACCACGACGCTCGTTTTGTGTCAGTTAATGCTATGACACATGAGGGTAACTTCAGCCAGCTTCTGTCTTTTTTGTCTTTCTGGTAGTGTTTGTTTATCAATGTTTACAGGGAATTGTCTTCACAACAGTCTCCGTATTATCGCTGGAGCAGATTTTATTCATTAAGCCCCTTGCAACCACAGAACTGATCAGAATACCAAGTATTTCACAACAGAGTAAACAAAGGCAAGCTTGCGGTCACAAGTACCCGACGTGTTCTCCCAGAGAGGCTGGGAAGCATTGGTTTCACGTTCCTGTCGTTGCTGTGGCTTCTAATTCCTATTGCTTGCAGGCTCGTGTTGGAGCAGGCAGAGCAAGGATGGAAGATACCATAAATTTCTCAGCATTTAAACTCGGGGAGTGTGAATCATTTCTTTCTTGGAATAACTTTAGTAGAAGAATAGAATCCAACCTGATGAGAAAAACGTGCAAAATCTTTTTCTTTTTCCTTTTCCTTCCCTGTTTCAGTGCTTCTTTTTCCAGCCTATTTTTATCATGAACACTTGGAGAAACCTAAGAAACTTGGAGTTGTAGCGCTTGCAGAATGAGAGCGCTGTGGAAAGGCATTTTGCTGGGAGGCTTGTTTTAAGGAACAGTAGACTTCCAACCAATTAGAAAAGAAAATAATTTGTCTGGGATAGTTTACATTAGATTCTGAACAATTTCGGCAACTTTGGGGATGTTAGAAATTGGTTGGATTTCCTTCTGAAGAGATGAAACATCATTCCTAATGTAAGTTACAGCGATATCAGATGTCAAGAGCATATGGAAGCTTATATCTCACAGAGGCGATGCCAGAAGGAGAGCAGTGTGTTCAGTAATTCCCTGGTTTTACAAGAAGTGGTGGATTATATTCACTTGAATTGTAGTCGGTTACGATGTCATTCTTGGGATGTTTTATCTTGGTGATTTCAAAATACTGAATAAGAGTAAAGCACGACAAGCTCAGCGAAGATAATTCAGAGGCTCTCAGCCCTAACAGAAATATTGACAATACTTTGTTGTTTTAGGACTTGGATTTATGGTTCTTGGGGATCTATTCCACTCCTTAATGTCATATAATCCACTGAGTGCTGAACTGAAAGCCAAAACTCCTCCTGCTCAGATCCTGTGCCTGCCATTGCTCAGTTGGACTTCAGTAATTGGTGTGAAGGAATACAGCCACTAACAGTGGGTGAGAAATGTGAGGCTGCGTGACAGAGCATAGCACCTTACTGCTGTAAGCACCGAGCCAGAGCAAGGATTTCTCATACAAAACGTGGAGCTGTGTGACACTCAGTCTGCTCCATGGCAGGCAAGGGTTCACAGTAACCTGTACTCTCTCTTAATTTCTGGAGATGTGAAGTTTACCCCTTTGTGGCATGTGGGAGATAGCAAGGAGATGACTTCAGTGTGGCTCATGGATTTCTAACTTGTAGTCTTACAAGTTATTAACGTGTTCTTTCTAAAAGTTGCTTTCATTTTGCCAGCAGGAACTGATAGTGGAAGGTTGAAAGACCTAGGGGCAAAAAACATTCATTTCTAAAGCATTTAAAATGGTAAATTTTAGAGTTTGTCATCAGTGATCCTGATGCTGCACCACCCAACCCTCTGTAGGCTGCTTCACTGGCCCTTCCAGCTTTGAGTTGACAGTGTGACAGTTAACAGCAATCAGGAAACCATTCGTCTGGGTGCCTCTTCTTTTGCGTGCATCTTTCATTCACTCTCAGTGCATCCAGCATTGCTTCATACTCTGCAGAATGAAGCTGTGTTGGGGTGCAGTGTTGAAGCAGGTATGTTGAGATTATCCAGAGCGAGCTTGGGCTGCGCCAAGGAGAAAGTAACTGTGGTTGTGCCATGGCCTGTGGTGCATTGCTCACACTTTACTGGAATTTTGTTGGACAACTCAAGTTGCCCAGTACAAAAACCACTGTTAGAATGCATAGAGGCAAAAGCAAACCTTTTGTGTCTCCTCTGCTGCAATCCACTCTTAAGGCGCCTTGAACTGAATGGAAAAGGTTGGATAAGCGGACCTGGATGAGTGTCAGCTGGAAAGCTTTTGTATTTATCCACCCAAGGAGTTGCTTTTAAAAACTTATTTACGTAAGCTTAATTTTGGATAATAACTGTTTGCTTTCAAGTGATTTGCTGCACTTACAGTGCTCAGCTAGTTGTACTAGCATCTTTGACTTCTGTAGATGCTCTCCTTATTGAAGGTCCTTTAAGATCAGCAATTAGTCTATTCTGATAAAGCTATTTATTCTTTTTTTGTTTTGTTAGCCTGGAGGAAATGTGGGATATATGTGCTAGAAATTGTAGAATCTCATTCCAGTTCTGCCACCATAGGAAACTGGTGCATTGCATTGTTTCAGTTTTCTTGCCTATGTGGGAGATATTTGCTGGTCTCATCTCTCTCCCAGGGTATTTTGCCACTCATAAAGTGCTTGAAACTAATACCAAACTTTCTGATAAGCTCTTCCACATGCCATTTTTATGGGAGTAAAATAAAAATGAGGTTATCTGGAATTGACAACAACTGTGAATTTCAGATTAACTGTGAAGTCTTTCTGCTCGAAATCAGTGCATCCCACTGCCTTGGAAAGATCTTCTCCTCCATTATTCATTACAAGGGCCTTAAAATTATACTCCAGTGACAAAGCCTTTATTTATTTTTAGACAATTGGCATCCACTTCTGGCTGACCTAGAATGTTTCTTTGATGACAATGTCTGTGATCCAGCTGGGTTTGCTGAATGGTTGAATAAACAAAGACAGATAGTAAAATGTGGGAAAGAAAAGGCTATTTTCATTATATTAGAGAATCTGTCCAGCTGAGTCCAGGCCTGATTCTACATGTCATATCTATAACAGTACACTTCAGTTAAGTGCCCTTGTGGTCTCTGCAGTATTTCTGGAATTTTATTATTATTGGATTTCAAGGTTACGAGAAGGTTAAGACCAAAAAGTTCAGAATGAAGGTGATTCACAAAGGCCTCTGCCTTCCTGAAGTATGCATGGTGTAGCTCAGGTTGAATACATGGAAGCCAGAGGATAAGTACGAGCCAGTTGTTTTCTACATTATCATCTTTTTTCATTCTTGTTTCATTTGCTGGCCATTTGTTTTCAGCAGCTTCAAAACCAGCTTAATTTTGAGAGGATAACTCTGCTGGTAGCAAAGAGCTCCGGGTCATAGAATGTACAGAAGCCTCTTGTTTTGACTGCATCAAATGGGTTTTTGAACTAAATGTTTTCCTGATCCAAGTTTTTCTTCTTCAAAACGAAGAACGTAAACCAGTTACCATGAGAGCAGCGTTGGAGGGCAACGGCTGTGATTCAAAACCCACTGCAAATGTAGAGGAAGTTGGTCCACTCTATGAGGCTGAAAACCAAGTAGCAAAGGACCTCCTTGCATCTATTTAAATGTAGTCATTACAAACAATAGTGATGAACAAACATCCTGATGCTGCAGCTCTGATACTTCTGGCACAGGAGGAGCCCCAGCGAGCCCTGGAGTTCCAGGGGACGTAGAGCTTGGGCCAATGAAAACCATTACTTCCGCCATTCAAAGCAATGGCACGGCTCGGAGTTCCAGCATGGATGTTGGGAAAATGTTTTTACGGGGAAAATACTTGCAATTTTTGTTTGGTGGTGGTCATTGCATGTCTGAACGAGGAGCGATTTTTCCAGTGTGTGTACGATAACCAGATGTGCTTTGGCCTTGAAGTGCAGCTGCTGTCCTACCAAGGCAGGGGTTAATTCTACCATGTGAAACTCTTGAGTACCCAACACATGCCCTGCAGGAGCCTTCTGCAATTGTAATCACTGTGTTTGTCTTGGATTTGGAGCTTTAAAGGATTTATTTAGAATCCTTTCTGTTTATCAGTTTCTAGAATGTAAAAAAATGGCCTTTCTTGATGACTTCAGTGAAATTTTCCATGGTTCATACTCTTGGTGGTAATAAATAAAATGTAATAAGAATAACTTATACATTTTTATAAGACTATTTTGGTCTTTTATTAGAATTTAATAACCCGGCCAAAGCTTCAATCAGAGCTCTTTAACATCAGAACAACTGCTCAGAATTGTGTAGTTGAAGGCTGATCCCATTGACTGCAGGAAAACATCACCTGTACCAGTGCCAAGGAAAGCATCCAGTGAGACAGATGGAACAAAGGCAGCAAAATTTAGCCATCCAATTGGGGTTAGGAAGTCGGTAAGAGCCAGGCACATTCTAGCTCCTATCCCTGTGCCTCTGCCTCTTGATTAGGTCTCTTGATTAGATACTGACTTGGCTGTGTGTCGGGTGCACCAGGTATGGTTTCTGAAGGAAAAAAACCCCACAAAACATTAAATAATAATGGTAAAAATTCTTAGGTTCTAAAAGAATTGGTTTTTTTTATAAATGAGAGTGACTTTGTATGAGTAAGATAGCAGTGAAGGATTGTCTCAGGAAACCAATGAGTGCAAGGTTGCAAATCCAGGCTGCTTTCTCCCGTGTCTTCATCCCTTCTTTTCCAATCCAAGAGTACCAGCAGTGTGCTTCTCAGTCATCCTTGACCATGTCGTGATGGTAATGATGGAGAAAAGGAACACTTTCTTACAGAAACTATCAGTTTGTGCTGTAACAACCTGGTTGGCCAAGATATCAGCATCTGTGGAATCAGCTTCCAATCAATCCTGCTCTGTCAGCATCATTTGTTACTACCAGTGGTTGTAATGGGCTTACTGTTATCTGCCTCTTCATTGCTGATTGCCTTCTGATACAGTTTAATAGATGGCTACATGGGTCTTTGAGTTTCTCTCTCCTTAGTTGTTTTTTAAGGTGAGGATGAGTTCACCCCAAAGCAGACACTGGGACAGCAGCCTGCAGTGCATCCTGCCATTTGGGATGGGGTTGGCCTTAGGTCGTACTGACAGTTGTAACAATGAAACTGGATGATTAAACAATAGTTTGGTGACAGTGGCTGCTGAGAAGACTGCCAGCAGCCCTTAATGCTTGGTGGCTGCTCCAGTGCAAGTCTGCAGTTCAGAATGTGCAGCTGAACAGATAAAATATCTGAACATTTCTTACCTTCTTTTTTTTCTCCCATTGAGTCCAAGGTAGCAGGAGCTGCTCTGCACGCCCAAGCACTGCCTGACTTCCAAGGGGCTCTGCAGGAGAGTGGTAGAGTTGTTCCAGCTGATCCTTCTGACTTTAATGGTAGGGAGGTAGGATTTGGTCATTGCAGCTCTTACTGCCTATGTGAGGGGTGAGCAAAAATGAAAGCAGTAATGAATATTTATGTGAGGGGAACAAAAGCCTAGCGAGGGGCAGAATCTATCGGCCACATCTTGTGTGTGGCTGCAGAAGGAAAAAGATCAAGCACCCATAACACTGGTTAGTTAGGTGTTAAGCATGCAGTTTCATGCCAGTGGTTTAAAGTCAGCAGGCCAAACCTTTGGTTCTGATCTGCAGGCTTAGCAGCAGCTCATTTTGTTTGCAGGAAACAACTCTGTGTGATGGGGAGTTGCTGTGCTGGTGGCATTGGCAGGTCAGCATGCACATCACCATGAATCCGTGTTTGCACCCTGTCAGCCCAGCTGCCTGTGTCAAGATTTTCCAGCCAAAATATAACGATACCAATGATGTGAGCCCTCCTGGCTGAGGTGTGCAGCTCTGGAGCTGCTGCTCAGGCTTGTTGCCCAGAGGGCCTTTAGGTGACCCTGCTGGCAAGGCTCTGGAGGCCGAAAAAACAGCGTGTTGAGACATGATTTAGTGACTTTCTAAAGCAATCTCTTAATTAAGGATAGGCTTCTGAATACACCAGGGCTCAGAGCATCTGCACTGCCGACACGCTCATCCAGCTCAACATGTGTGGGGCTGTGCACAGGACATTAGGGCTGGAATTGCTGCTTTTTGAGGTTCTGAGAGCTGCAGATCAAATCTTGCTGCTTTTTGACAGCGTGTGCACCGTTACTGCAGGGACGTTTAGCACTCATTTAGCTCGCAGTGATCAGCTTAACCTGGGCTGTGCCTTTCCTAAGCCCAATTCCTGGGTAGGTGGGGATGGTGGGACTGTGCTCATCGGTGCTCTCTGCCTCCCCCAGCAGCACCTCCACGTTGCTGTCAGGCAGCTGCAAGGTGCAGTGTTTCTCAAACTCTATTGCAGGGATGCAGTTTCTATTTCATCGTTGTCCTGGCATATTGCTGCAGTTCAGTATGTTATTAAAATAATAAAAAAGAAAGCTCTTAAAGTATATTTCTTTTCCATATTAACTCTTCATTATCCTGGGAATAACATCCTACAGCCACCTGCCTGCATGGAGAAAGGGAACACTTCATGGTGCTTTTATTGAAGCTGATAGCTGCAAAGCTGTAACACGTTCCCACCAAAGAGAAGAACAGATTGGATGTTCTATTGCTTTTTGCTTAAGAAATGGTAGAAAAACACCTGCAAAGCAGTTTGATTGCTTTTCTGATCCTTCATGCAACGTATGCCCTGAGAACATTCTTTGTTAATAATGCACTTTATTTTGGAGAACGATCCCAAACTCACCCAGAAGGGTAATGGATTACAGGAGATATGGGGAAAATACCCTACTGCTGAGTGCTTTCTGTTAATATTTTACTATCGATTAATATCTTGTATAGAATATTTTCAACCCAGGTGGATGGATGGAGGTATGGTTTTACTGCACTACTGAAACGTATGAGCTTATGGTACAATACTCTCTAACTTACTACTGCTGCTTTTAAAGCTGTGTCTAGGCTGAAGGATTTTGAGAAAGAAATTGATGTGAAACAGATGGGTGAAAAAAGCCCACGACTGATTTTTGTAATCATTTTTTTGCAGATTTTCTGATAGAAGGGAACTTTTTGCATAGAGTGCCTTGTGATTTTGATCTGATGATTCTGATGGCTGATGTTTGTAGGATCTGAAGCGACGGGGTTTTGAAAAAGGGTTTATGCATTAAAGAAAGGGGCTTGGAAGAGGCACAGCTCAGTTAAGCTGATCATTGCAAGCTGAACCAGTTCTGTCCCCACGGTAATGGTGCACGGGCTGTAAAAAGCAGCAGGATTTGGTCTGCAGCTCTGAGTCTGTAAAAGAAGCAATTGCAGCCCTGCTATTTTGCATACAGCCTCACGCGTGTTGAGCTGGAAGAGCGTGTCGGCAGTGCAGATACTCTGAGCCCCACTGTATTCAGAAGGGCTTTTCTTTTCCACTTAAAGGTGAGGGCTTTCTAACTTTTATCTGAGTCAGAGGGATGTTAGAAACCAGCGTTTCCTCTTCCACCTGCATGGCCAGCAGAGCCTTATTAAATTACCAAGAACTTTGAGCTCTGAGTGTTGAAGTCAATCATTTCCTTTGTCCAAGCTGCATTTCCAGCTGTATCTGCTTTATTTCAGTTTTAAGTCTGTTCAGGGAAGCACTGAGAAACACGCGTTTGGAAGGAGCACCCTGTGCAGTTGTGCTTGCAGATAGGAGGGTGCTCACATTTCAGCAGCAGCGCGGAGGATGCGCCGCTTCGCAGTGAGGAATTGCTCCCAGCACTTAGCTTAGATCCAGCATTGCCCCCTGAGCTGGTGAGGAGCGGGCAGTTGGTAAGGATTTACGCTTTTCTACTGTCTAGTCGTTGTCTTCTAGTCTTAGTTTTCCTAAATTCTGTGATTAAGTTTTTAATTTCCAAAATATCCTGATGCTGCTCGTGTTCGGTTTGGACTTTTTCCTAATTAGTGACAGCAGTGAAGAAAAATAATTGTCAGTTTCGGAAGCCTTCAATGTTTGCTTGAAGCATGGCTTCATTTAAAGTGCATTCAGCTCTGTTTGCTGTGGAAGCAGCTCATTTCCCTGCAGGAACAGCAGTTTCTGCTGGGGGTGCAGCAGCACCAACCCTGCATGGCCCACATTAATCCTTCATAGCTGGAACAGAGGGCAATGGCTGCACAAAGCAAGCTGCAGGAAGTGTCAGGAGGCGTCACTTACATTTGGAAGTGAATTTAAGCAGTGCAAAGAAGCAAATGTGAAAAGCATCTCGTGGTGCTGAGCTACGTTACTGAAGTGTAAGGAGACGTTTTGTACTCGGTGTCACAGTGCAGCACATGCAGCCCTGTGTCTTTGCAATGGTAACCCTTCCAACCTCTCTTAAAGAACTTCCAGCTCTGTGGTGTATTTTACTCCTTTGCCCTTGGCCACTTTCGTTATGCTTTTTTGTGTATAAGTTGGGGAAGCTAAAACTGATGGCCTACTGAAGGGCATAATCCTTAATACCATTTTGCATAGTGGGCAAGAATTGTTAATTTTTCTTCTTTCCGACTCCTTTTCATGTTCATTTAGCTGAACATTACCTCTGTTCCTGTATTTCTGCTTTCTGAGTGCCCACAGTTAACGTGTGTGTCTGTGTATGATTTCACACTGCTGGGGACTGATTTCACCTGTCGTTGTGCTGCTCTGCTCTTAGGGAACACAACATTTGGCTTCCGTCAGAGGTTTCTGCTGTATCAGAATGGTTTGTCACCTCCCTACATTTCCACATTCCCACTCATCTTTCTGAATATTAAGATTAAAAACATTAAAAAACGAAGAGCAGTTAAAAATCCCATAGCGTTTCTCTTGATGTTGGGATTCAATATGGGCTCCTTGGCTCAGGATTTCCCCTTTTGGGGATACGCTGAGTTGCTGCCATTCTCAATAGAAGTTTGCCTTTATATTTTTAGATACATTTGGAAAGAAACCTGTTCTGTAAATAGTATGTTTTGATTGGAAGTACCCTGAACTCCTTTAACGTATTCTTTTTTCAACAGTAAATATGACACCAGCTGGACGGAGGGCTGTGTTCCCCCATAGGCTGTTTATGTATACGCTGTGTTGCCGTTAAGCTGAGTGCAAGTTCTCAGTTGTGGGTATTATTCTTTTTCTGGGGAGGGGAAAAAAAATAATCATTCAAAACGCTCACGAGGAATTAAATTCATTTTGTAAAATCACTTGAGGGGAATTGGATACATCTGCTCCGCTCGTTCAGTCTTTGCAAATTGTATTAAATGCTCTCAGACGAGAAACATTCAACATCCAGCTGCCCCAGGCAGGCCGCGGGAGGCACAGTTGCATGTTTTCAAGCAGACACTCGAGGTCCCCCCAGATTTGGGCTGTAACCTTTTGTGCCACGGCTTTGCAGCGTAGCAGCAATGCAGTGCTGTGCTCAGTTCATGCAGTTTTATTGCAGACTGCAGGCAAGAGCAAGCTGAGCTGGGGTAAATTCTGACCAAAAGAGGCTGTAAACTGTCCTCCTTCCACGTTCGAATGCGCAGCAAAAGAAAGGAAAGAATTGTTTTCAACGAGGAGAAGCTTGCTGCACGTGTTGTTGTGTCTTTCCCTGCTGGGCTTACAGGGGAACGGGAAGAATCGTTTTTGTGAATGGCATTTATTTCCCTGCAGATAAAAATAGGCTTTCAACACATTTTCAGTTATGCACAAGCAGATAAATGAGGATGCAGCCTTCAGAGTAAGGGCACTTAGGTGATAATTGTCTGTAATTATTGCCGTGCTCCCATTGGAACAGGATTAAAGTGTAAGATTTGGGGAGTTTGGGGTTCCCTTTGGCCACATCCGATGTTCTGTATCCACCAGGAGTTGGACTCAGTGATCTGTGTGGATCCCACCCAACTGGGGCTATGCTGTGGTTCTATGAAAATGTTGCATTTTCAGCACAATTTCAACCCAAATGAATTCATTCACCAGTTAAGTCACCGTTTTCCTGATAGGTTTCGCTGCAGCACCGCAGTGAAAACAGATCCGACCACACAGGGGTTGGTGCAGAGGTTTTAGGGCCTAATGAAGCAATGGCTGTGGGGGTTCTGTGTGCTGTGCTGAGCTGACAGGGCAAAACGTGACAATGAATGGAAAAAAAAATTGAACTTTGGACCATATACATAGATGCCAAAATCATTGAGTTTGGGCTTTAACGAAGCCCAGTGTGCCCTCAAAGGTGCTCACCTATTCCAGAGTGCTGTGCAGGAGCTGAAGAGGCTTCAGTGATGGAGTTAATTTCATTTATAGCTTTTACAATTTTTTTTTCACACAGACTTGGATGCCGTTCTCTATTTTCAGTCTGTGTCTTTTTATGGGGAAAAAAAAAAAATCATATTAATTTTTCCCTTGAAAAAGCACTTGCCAAGCAAGTCTTTGTGACGTGTACCCAGGGGCCGTTTGCATAGGAAGGCTTCTCCATGCATTGCTTCAGACAGCTGGCAAGCCCCCGGCCAACAGCAGCACTGGCATCTTCCAACTTGAACCCTGCCCTCTTGAAAATGTAACAAAAGACAACTTCCATCTTTTCCACAGGTGATTCTTTTGAAAACCCAGATGACAAAAGCCTGGGAGAAATGGGAATGGATGTCTTGTGCGGGTTAAAAAATTCCTTTGCAGCTTCCAGAGGTATCTACTGGTAATAATCTGCCATACAACAAGGAATACTGCTAACTCAGCAGGCAGAGTAATTTGTTGCTTCTCTTCTAATCACAGTGCTCCTCACAAGCAAAAATGCTCCTTTATTGCTTGCTAAAACAGAAACAGGAATCTTGGAGAGCCTAGGTAGCGAGGGAATGAATCCCTCATGGGAAACCCATCCCTACCAGAATTAGTGGAAAAATAAAATCCAAGCCATAATGAGTCAAGAGGATGGGTTTGGTTTATTAGTTCCAAGAAACACCCGAGTAAAGGCTCAGAAAACAAGTGAACGTCAAGTGTGAGTCTGGCGAAGGCAAAGCATGGCCAGAAGAGGCCCAGGGCAGCAGGGCAGGAGCTGAGCCTCTTCCAGCAGTGCTGTGCTTGCAGGGCTTGGCTTTGCCTTTAGGAAACGAAAGCCCACAAGGCAGAGCTGTCACAGCCAGCACGGCGATCTGCAGTGCATAACCAGTACAAAATGGGTGCGTGTTCCTCGCGTGGCTTCGGTTGTTGTGTCCTGTGCAGGTTCATGCACTGAGTAGCAGCGGGTTCTTTCTAGTTTCTGCATAAAAGAACGTATCAATGGATATTGTGTATTTAAATGAAGCTGTTCTTTTGAATGTTTTTCGTGTCGTTCCTTCTCGCTGCCCTTAGCTACAAGTGTTTGGAACTGGAAACAGAGCCTAGGAATTTCCTAGAAAATAATCCGTCAGGGACAGGCACCAGCCTCCCCCGAGAAAGGGAAAGCTTAAACGTTTAATGGCTCTATTAATTAAGTTCAGTAATTTCTCAGACTGTTGAAAATGTGTAGACGTGCCTGACGGATCCGCTGGGTTATTCACCACGGGAGGCTCTGAGGTAGCGAGAGGTTTTTCTGATTGGGTTTTGGCAGTGTTTCAAAAGGGGCTTTAAGCTGATAAATGGAAAACGTGAGACGCGAGGGCTGCTGGCTCTCCCTGCTCTTAACACTTGGAGGGCTGCAGCGTGCTTTGGGCGGCATCAATTAAAAAGGTTTGAGATCAGAGCGCTGATGTGTGGGACCGTCTGTTGTGACACGGCTGTGGGTTTGTGCCCTGCTGTTGTGGGGTGGTTTGCAGGGCTGTGGGCTGGGTGCTTGTGCTCAGTGATGGGGCAGGACGTGGCCTCAGCACCTGCTGTGCCCTCCTTTATCGGAGCTTAGATTTAGAGGTGTGAAAGACAGAGGAAGAAAGCAGCGTGCACCCCGCAGGTACTGCGTATCAACCACCGTATCTTAGGGTACGTTCCCCTTATTTAAAAAAGGAATGAGGTGGTTCTTTTGCCAGAGCTGGGCTTGGTTTTGGCATCGCTTCCCACATTCCATCGACTTTGGCCTCCCAGAGCAAGGGGGGGACCCACAGAGATGGCTTTGGATGGAGGTAACGCAGCACCAATAGTGACAGCAGTGCAGGCTGACTGCCAGCAGAGAGGGCTCCAGGCAGCCCCTCCAACACAGCCCAGAGGGGATAGAGGGTGGATATGGGGTTACTGTATGCAACAAATAAGGTTCTTAAGAAAGACTGAAATGCAACGAAATCGGAGAGAAAAACGTCTGCTGTGAATGATCTGTATAATGATGTGAATGATGCTGTAATAATCTTTCAGATGATGTTCTGGAAGGTGAGGTTGATTGCAGGAAAAAAACGCATTTCCCATATTATTTTTAGAGTTGTTGGCACTCTGCTGACTTGGAAGACAGAACATCAGCGGGGCAAATTGGGGTTCATTGTGTTCAATGACGATCGCTGGGGTGGATTTACATCCAGCAATGCCTGCAGCAAGTATTGAATGTGGCTGCAGGAGGTGATCGCAGTCTGTGTTAAACGTATGAACATCTCAACAGAGATTCCTTTTTCATGTTAGATTTTAGAAGCTAAATCCCCAAGTTGTGGATTGGTGTGCAGGAATGCCTTGGATAATTCTGCTCAGCTCATCCTCTGCAGAGATGCTGTGTTCTCAGCTTCTCTCTACAAGAGTACTTCAAAAAGCTTATCTAAGTGAACCAAAGGTATACGTTTAGTGGATTATTTTAAACTGTAATAAGCCCGTGTGTGGGCAGCAATTTACAGAATTCAAGCAGATTTAATTCATGTATCTTGATTTCGCTTTTGAGTCTAATTAAATCGAATTGAGTGGAAATCAC